AAGAACCCATTTCAACAAGAAGGATGAGGTCAAAGAAGCAGAAGGGAACTTTTTGGACTGCCAAGAGAAGGACTTCTTTTATAGGGACTAATTCAGGACAACCATCGTCCAAATATTTAAAAAGTAAAAAGTATGTACTCAAGACATGTGAGACTTTATTGTAATTATTTATATGATGCTAATCTGTATACTATGTAATTCTTATCACTTCCGCATTGTACATTGACTTGCCAGGTAATTAATTACTGTATATGACATTTATAACCTTAATTGGTCATCCCCCTTGGCCGTGTCTGCCATCACATCAACTGGTCAAGGAAGTGCTATTGTTTTTCTATCTGTACATTGTTGAGTCGTCGCCTGTCCATTGTTGTCAAAAACTGTATATATACTTAGTATACTCACATCTAGACAGTGAAGGAGTACGTGTCTGGTATTCCGACTCTCTGTGTAGGGACGTCCATTAGCGGGATAATGCTGCTCGTAGGAAACACCATGGGGTTGAGCAGGTACTCCGCTCACCTCACTTATGTCTTGTGTATTTGTTTGTCATGTAACTAAAGAAGTTTGAACTCAACATATTCGTTCGTCTTGTCAACGTATTCCTTCGTCTTGTCAACGTATTGTACGTACACTTCATCTTAAAAATGAGCTAATTCCCCAGTCGACCATATTCCACGCGTTGACACTTCTATGAAACTTGGATAAAATCCCTCCAACTTAACTGACAAAAGTCTTTCAATATGGAAGGGGATCATGTTAAAAAAGGAATCATTTTAATGACTTGACACCATTGATCAACCCTCATATATTAAGCTCTACAATGTTGTTCAGACTTAATCAAAGCATATTTTCTTGAATTGAAAACATAGGCATATAGAGTAAAGTATTTGTTCTACAACTGAAAACAAAATCAGATATTTAAAAAGATTACAGCGAGTTGTCTGAAAGTTGTGTAAATAAAAAAAGTTTGTTTGTTTAAGTCCGCTGCTCTCGCTTTCGCCAGTATCGAGTGGTGCAAAAATAATGTTGCTCCTATCTGAGAAGCTGCTCCACTAAATGCAATCTTTACATGAATGTTTGTTACCAAACAAAGTTCTTTAAAGTTTACTGTGCTCTCCCATCAATCAGAGCTACACTCTCCCTACATGATGGGTATGGATTTCACAAGTTTTACATTCAGCTTACATTGAATGTTCTGGGTAAACAACACTGCTAATGCATTATTCTGTTTCAGATTCTGTAAAAGTTAACTTCTTCCATTCCTCTGGTGTTTAGAAGGTTCAAACTGCAAATAACTTTACATGCTTGGATATCAAATTATTGGGGGAAGTTGGAATAGGGTGTTGCTGGAATAGACTGTTAATGCTGCACCGCTAATGGTGGGGATGGGAAATGTCAGTACAACGTTAGAGTGTTGTACATGATCTATATCTGTTAAGAGATTTGATGTGTTATTCTCGATGTGCTTAGTGGACACAGTCACATTATGAAACCTGTATGACACTCTGGGGAAATAAGAGCAGCAACACCACCACCAATAAAACATACATCTCGTTATCTCAGTCTGTGACCGCATACATTTTGGATGTTTGTTGATTTTTAGATGGCGATATATTTGTGTTGCAAATTGAGGTTGTTAGATGAAATATGCCAGGATTTACTCATCTTAGGAGGGACACTTACCATGCATGTGTGAAGTGAATCAGTTAATTATTCATTGAAACTGTATAGAGAAAACATAATGAGATTGTATTGAGTCTGAGGATTAGAATATGTTCTGTATCAAAGGAAATGGAGATTCTTTTAGGAGGGTTAAAGTTTGATTCACTGGTGATGGTTTATTCATCTACACAGTCAGTTGATTTGTACTCAGAAAATGATATCCCTTTATAAATATGAAAGGTTTGTCCTTGAAGATGTAGAGACCTAACCATGTTTAAGTCAAGCAAGAGTTAGTAATAACACAGAAATGATTCATTAGCTTTGATTCTGAGTCTCCATGTAATGCCATGTGTACCTTCCTCCTGAGAGGGTACGTAAGTCCCAAAACATTCAAAGTAAATTTCAACTTTTCGTTTTTTAATCGTAGAATATTTGTAATTTTAATGTATGGCTAGATATGTCATAATTGCTAACGGCTGAGGGGATGATATAAATCCAGCTAGGGCCCATGCAGGAAGCAAATGTACTGTAAGTCCCCATGGTCCCTAGTATGGTGATCTACCTTCAGTTGTTAGCGATCTATAGCCCATTTTTAGATTGTGTTGTCCCCTATGGTTAAAATGTTTTAGATTCAATTACTAGTTTTACATATATATATATCTGTGATACTCTAGTTGTTTTACTGTCCTTCGATGACAGGTTATATAATATATACATATTCCATTACAATGTAAAATGTTCTCGTCACGATATGGCTGAAATATTGCCGATGTGACGTTAAATATTAACTCACTCACCCATGTGTACCTACAGCTTGAGTCTCCATGTGATGCCATGTGTACCTACAGCTTGAGTCTCCATGTAATGCCATGTGTACCTACAGCTTGAGTCTCCATGTAATGCCATGTGTACCTACAGCTTGAGTCTCCATGTGTACCTACAGCTTGAGTGCATGTGTACCTCAATCTCCATGTAGTGCCATGTGTACCTAATTTGTTTCCATGTAATGCCATGTGTACCTACAGCTTGAGTCTCCATGCATGCCATGTGTACCTTCAGCTTGATCTCCATGTGTTGCATCTATTGATGTAGTGAGATAATTTGTACCTAAATGTGGCTTTAGCAGCCTTCACATTTATTGTTACCCAATTTCAAAGACTATAAAAATATATCTAAGAAGGTTTGGATATCTTCTTATATCTTTATATTTGAAAATGTTTAGTACATAGAGACCAAATGATATATTTTTAGTATTTGAAACCATAAAGCAATTAACTCATGCTTGAAGTACTTTGAACTACGGTAAATATATGCTGGAGAAAGAGACTGGCTGTCAGGCCTAAAGCATGGCATGGCCTCAACATATCACAAACTTAATCCCATTCTGCCATGGGCTCCAGTATTGTAACTACATCTCAGGACTCAATATGGTTACATGTGTAGAAACAAAAATAGCCTGGTGATTAATGTAAGCCTCATTTCAAGCAGGCCTTGGATATGTGCTCAACAACTACCTGTAAGGGTTAGCTGATATGACTGTGATCTGATCAGGCAGTCACTCACATAGTTGTGATTCACATTTGTCCATACAGTAATCAGACAATAGTTATAGCATAATAGCAGTGGTCACATTGGTCTGACATTATTTTGAAGGTGGTCGTTATGACAAGAGACACCTGAATATCTGTGTTAAAACTGATCTTCAGTAAAGCCATGTTTGTTGTAAGAGGCGACTAATGGGATGGGGGGTTACGGATCACTGACTTGGTTGACACGTGTCATTTTATCCCAATTGAGTAGATCGATGCTCATGATGTTGATCACTAGATTGTCAGGTCCAGTCTCGATTATTTACAGACCACCGCCATATAGCTGGAATATTGCATAAAACTAAACTCGCTCACTCAGTCACTTGTTGATAAGAAATACACTTTAGCTCACCTGATGGAAAATCGAGAAGCTTACATCATGGCCTGTTTGTCTGGTATCTGTCATCAGTCAACCTTCCATTGTAAACAGGTGAATCTCAGAAACCACTCAAACCTGTAACTTAACATGCTTACTTCCACCAGTTTTATAAAAGTGGTGTGAATGTGCTGTTCAAAATGGCCACCACAGCAGCCATATTGGAAAAGCTACACATATCATTACTTCTGTAATGTAATGAAAGAGTTACATATAAAGTTACAAGTGGTTCTTTATGCATGTTTTCTCTTTTGTGATATTTAAAAGTTTTACTTTTATTTAACCTTTTTTACATTATTCAGCCACTATTCAGCCATTTTTCTGAAAATGTGTTCACATTTGGTATTTGTCTAGTTAGAAGTAAAATTCATCCCATGTTTTCATAATCTTAGTTTTGTGACCATGCTTTGACATGATTGACCCTCTTACCAAATTCACTTTTGTTTCTGTAAACTTCATTTCACTTTTGGTTCTCAGTATTTTATGCAGAAAATTTTGAATATCAGTACTGAGTGTCATTCTTTATTGACATCTAAAATGTCTGCAAACTAAAGTGCTAGCACTTTTTGTAATTAGATTCTTGCGAAATTATGCCCTTGCTTGACTCAGTGTATAAGATGGTCACTAGGCAGAATTGGGATTTTGCAATTAATCCGCTTGTTTGCTGCTGAGATTATAAGCTACTTTATAACAAAAAGATACACTTTGTCTATTCTGTCATGAAGTAAGAAGATGTGAGTATTTTATGTTGCTACTTATGTTCCTGGAAATCAGCAAAAATAGTGTCCTTTGAGACCTACTTGATCATTGATGTTTGCAATACCAGATCATTGACATGACGTGCATCCTTGCTCTGTTTCAAGTATTGCTGTCAGTGTAGGCAAACTACAGTCAGCTCCAGACTCCTTGATGTGGAGAGCTTGCTTTGAAATGCTATTCTACGCCAGCTTTTGTATTCTGTAATGTCACTGCTTAGTGGTTGTACATCTGAGGCCCCAACCACATGCTCAAAGTGAGCTAGCACTGGGACTGATATAGGTCTGTTGTGGATCAAGCCAATATTTTGTTTGTTGAAACATAGTTGGGTATCTTGAATTCTGTTATTAAAAATTGACAACTTAAAATATAGTCAAGAGTTTTGGGCAATATAAGACATGATCAAAAAATGTGATTTACCTACTTTATATGTTTTGAAAATCAACTCATAGGGTACTTAGGCAGAATTAATCCAACATTTTAGAAATATCCTGGCAGCACTGAACCCTTGTGTCTTTATCTCTTTCTTTGTCTTCATCATTTGTTATGTAAACTATGACAAGAAACAATGTCTGATTTGTGGAGTAAGGACTGTATGTTGTGTTGTGTTTCAGACGTCCAAGCCCCAGACAGTGGTCAAGCTGACCGTAGTGCCATGTCCTCCAGTAGTGGAGGTCCTCATCAAGCGGCCAGACGTCAAGTACCAGCTTGGCTTCAGTGTACAGAACGGAGTGGTCAGTATCAACTTATACATTCATTGGGCTAACAGGCTTAGATTATGGTGTACTTGTGAGCCCCACACATACCAACAGTTTGGTGCATGATCAGAACCTGCTCAATGTTCACCTTGAAGCTGCGATCCAAACTACCAGGGACCAACCTTTTGCAGCACACATAGTATAACTTCCACCCGCTACCCCATGCTGATCTACCCATGTAGAGCTGGGTTAGAACTGGTCTTCAGTAACCCATGTTTGTTGTGAGAGGCAACTAACGGGACCGGTTGGTCAGGCTCATTGACTTGGTTGACACATCATTGTATCCCAATTGTGTTGATCAATGCTCATGGTGTTGATCACTGGATTGTCTAGTTTAGACTTGATTGTTTACAGACCGCCGCCATATAGCTGGAGTATTGCTGAGTGCGGCATTAAACAACAAACCAACCAACTTCCACTCACAGCCCCATGCTGACCTCATGAAGTTGTGTCTGTTATCAACTTCAGCCCTGCCTGTCCCCCATGCAGGATGCCACCTCAAAACACAGCCCTGAGCTCATAATGTCTTATAATTGTACTGTTTATGCCACATTAAACCTACAATCAATTCCAGTCCCTGGAGCTATTCTGTACCTACCACTTTTCTCTGGTCATCACTATATATGGCAGAAAATAGGCTGTAATGATTCACTGCCTGTTTATTAGCTTCCTTCCCCTTAAGGAGACTCTGAGGTTTTTCTCAACATGTGATTTAAAGGCCTTGAAAATCAAAGCATGTTGTACAGAATAGGTCATCGTGTGAAATTTTTAAGAGTTTACTAAATGAGGAATTGGAAAATCACAATGTGGGTTGTCACATTTCACTGGAAATTGGTCCACTGAAACTAAAACATTCACTTCAGAGTTAAGCTTTTAAATTGTCTTTGCTGAGTAGGGCAGTTTTGCTCTGCATATTTGTTTTTAGATATAAAATTATATTTTTTAGTCTTTCTTTGTATAATTATTTCAGAGAACGTAACTACTTGATGTAGGACAGTCATGTGGCAAAGTTTGATTGATTATAAAAATCAACATTAAAATTATAGTCTTGCATATTAATACTTTATATGTTGTCATGGTATTAGACGTGACAGCATGAATTTTGTAATCAATGTATTTTAAGTTTCAAAACCTATTAAAAACACAAATCTTAACCTTTTAATCTATATTTTGCCAACATGAGACTTTGGCCATTGAAGTTTATGATGATGATGATGATGATGTCCAATAACTGATGACAGTATTGTATTCCGGAGTGATGTCAAGTCATTCTCTGCTGTTTAAGTATGCATACGATGAGAGTACTCCATGAACTGGTTCATAAAATCTGTATCAACTATTTTGCTACACTGTATGCACATTTGTTTTTATGGTGTTGTCCACGTCAGCAAGTATTGATAATTGATACCTCCAGCTGATGGAAGTTCACATTGAAAATATACTACATAACATCACAAACCTGAAATCATGTGTGATTTATGTCCTAAATAACTGACGATTGTATGTCATAAACATATATAGCTTGATAAACTTTGACACATTAGATGAATTGAGATAAGAAATGGATGTTCCACTAATGCTACGTCTGTACTCTCCAGATCTGCAGTTTATTACGTGGAGGTATAGCTGAGAGGGGTGGTGTGAGGGTCGGACATCGAATCATCGAGATCAACAATCAGAGTGTGGTAGCAGTACCCCATGAGAAGATAGTAGCACTACTAGCCAACTCTGTAGGAGAGGTGAGTACAGGGTTACTTGGTGCCCAATCAATACACAAGATCTTGACGGCTCACATAACCTAAAGTTCAAATTCTGGTTTACAAAAAAGCCAGAGCTTTTCATTTGATAGTATTATTACATTTACTCTTTTCTAGACTGGTAGTATTTATACATAACTGTATCATATCCCAACTGCATGGAGACCGCCTCCATGGTGTAGTGGTTAGAGCGTCCGCCCTGAGAAGCGGAAGGTCGCGAGTTTGATCCCCGGTCGCGTCACACCAAAACACGTTAAAATATGGTACTTGTTGGTCTCAGTCTGGCGCTCGGCATTAATGGGTGCAACAAGGACTGGTCGGCTCGGAGTCAGTATAATGTGTCAGAGTGGGGTATTCATGCTTCACTGCGGCATGGTATCTCAGTGAGCTAGCACTATAAAACCAGCTTAAGTCTGGGCTAGTACAAGCAGCCGCACATACACATACACATGCATGCACGTCGTCATATGAGCGAAATATTCTCAAGTACGACGTAAAACCCAATTTCACCTCACCTCACCTCAATTGCATAGATTGATGCTCATGATGTTGATCACTTGTTTGTCTGGTCCAGACTCAATTACTTACAGACCTCCGCCATATAGCTGGAATATTGCTGAGTGCAGTGTTAAGCAACAATTACATAGCTGACAAAACATTCCAGAATTTATATATGACACTGGTGTTTGGGAGGAGGGGGTGGGTGGATCAAGGATTCAACAGTCACCAGTCTGACAGCCTCACCCATATAGTTGCATCTGAAATCAAGACTTGCCTGCTGGAGGGCAGTTTAACCCAGAACTCCAAGGTTGCATGATGCATGATCTATTATGTGCTTACAGAGTTTTATCAAGAAATATTCATTGGCGCTGCAAAAGTACCATTACTAATTCATGTCATTGGAAGGTATAAAAAGCATTTAAAGAATAGAGGAAATAATTTGTTTTGATCATCAAATATATTATTTGTGATCAAAATCTTTGGGATTAACCTGTTTCGAAATACTTAAGTATGTCACATACTTTTCGCGGTTTCATGCACAAATTAAAATGGGAAGGGGATATACATATAGATGACTTCATCCTGCCTTTCAGCTCAGTTTGTGTTATGTACCACCTGCATTTGTGGGAACTGAAATGTTGATGAATATCAGTGAATATTGATGTGATGGATGAAAGCGCTTGCCTTTTACTGTTATTAAGCAAACCTAAAGGATGAAGATCAGTACCAGTACAAAGAAGTAGAATAATACATGTCAATAAATCATAAACATAAAGATATTTTTATTGGTTCATTTCATTAAACACAAAAATAAGAAAGTATATAGAACCATGAAAGAAATCTACTTTGTTCTGGAAAAACAGATTCCTGGCTTAATGACGTGTTTATGAGTCATTTGCTTGAGAAATTAGATTGACTGTCCCCACTGAGAGCTGGTCAGGTAGTAACTGGGGTTTGCCCAGACCTGTCTGCCATGCCTCCCCTTCTGGTGGAGCTGTATTGACAACTGTAATAATGTCTCAAATTGTCTTGGATCTACCACCTAATTCCCGCGGCATCCCCTGGGTTGTATAGAATTATGGGATTGTGTTGCTTCAAGGAAACCAATATCACATGAAACGTGGACAACCAGAGACAAATGCTCCACCTACGAATAAAGTCTCACAAACATGGTCGCGAGTCACTTCTTTATTATTTTGTCATTGTTTGGGTCAGCCTCGACATGATCGAAAGACATTTGCGAGATTACCTGGTGGTTTCATGACTTTGGTCACCTAAAGCAGCCAGCAATCTTAGGAGTTTCCATCTTCAGCAAGTCTTAGAGAATCAATTATACATTATTATTTGCATTCTCGATGCAGACTGAATCAATTTAGTGTGATGAGGGCAGGAAATACTTGCATAAAGAACCATTGATCCTCTTTTTGATGAAACCTATTTCTGGACAAGGTGCTGAAAATATAGCTTGTATTGGATATAAGGTTGAAAAATGTAATATCTCATGAAATTGTACTTAATATGGTGGCTGTAGACATTTCCTCTGGCTTAGAATGGTCTCATATCAGAAATGTTTCTAGGTCTCCCAATACAATTGCATGGATGTAATATTACTCACATTGTTATGTCGTAAGGCTGTAGATGTAATTACGATGTTTGTTTCATCGATATGTTTGTCAAATTCATGACCTGTCTGGATGAAAAAGGTAGTAATACAACTTCTGTTATGGAACTAAAAAAACATGGTGTGCATAGAAGTGTGACTGGTGCAGATTGTGGAACAATGGCACCAGACAATGGAGATGGAAAAGGTTGACAGACATTGTGTTTGTTGATTAACATGTTGAGATATTATTGTAAGGACGTGTTCAGAGGTAAAAATGAATGACTAATGGTATTTTGTTTTATGAAGCCTTTATAGACAGGTTTATCCAGTCATGCCTATTGATTCCTCGACAATACTTGTACAAAACAGTATATGCACTGTTTGAGACAAACAATATTCACAGAAAATCAATAATAACGACTGGCAAGGTAAGGTGAGGATGGAAACATTGATTTTTTAAAGGTGTCAGTTATAATGTTTTTCCGTTATTATCTGCAAGAATAACCTGTCAAATCAATGGATTTTCCACAATTCAGTCATGGGGGCCCAGGATATCAAACTGATACCGTGACAATGCATGATTACATCCAATGAAAATCTTAATCCTGTGGTACTAAGGGAATATGCAAGTGACTGAGGAAAGAAATTATATTTTTTCTGTTGAACCAAATTGTTCCGAAGGTTGTTATAACATTATGGATAACAAATGTAATATTCAGGTTCACCTGGATGTAGAATGTCCAGACATAGCTTCAGAAATATACTTAATTCAATCCAGGATTGTTGGCGATTTTCAACATTTCCAAGTGAATAATACCACTGTCAATATTTGTACACTGTACCTGATAGTATTCCAACAATTCTAATGGTAGATCTTTGACAGCTGATGACAACACTGTCATTTTTGTGTCATTTAGTTTGTATACTGATAAAATCCAAACAGCAGATGACATGTGATGCTGTAACTACATCCACATTGCTCTTTCTTTCAGGACAATTCTGGAAAAAAATAGTTTCACCGCATGAACTTGCACTCAAACAGTACACTGTCTGGTTTGAGAAATGTTAACAAAATACTGTTGTAGGCAAGGAATTGTCAAGTGAACTTTTCCAAAAATGTTTTCCAGTGTTATTGCCAGAAGTTCTAGATAACATAGATCAATACCCCACAGTATATGTCATAGCAGCAGAAATGTGAGATGGAATGTGTGAGAATATATCTTTCAAAAACAGTCATGTTTTGAGTATGATTTATTGACCTGTCCTTTTTGTGTTGTTCCAGATCCACATGAAGACCATGCCTACGTCCATCTATCGTCTGCTGACTGGTCAAGACACGCCTCACTACTTATAGACACAACAGTATTGTATGCCAAGACTTGCTTCACACGACTGTAGCCTTGTTGAATGGAGGAGGCAACACCATTCTAGTCAGTGTGGTCAACAGTGGTCATTCTCCCACCAAGAACATAGACAGCCTGAAGGTGCTGACCGCTGCTGACCATTGTCATTTGACTGTGAGTGGCCCACTGATGCGTACCATCTGGGCCAACATACCTACATCAAGCTCTGCTTTGAATAATTTGTGAAATTGGAGATGGGCATCTTGTATGATGAGGTTCTGTGAACTTCATCGGGCAGCATCAGTTCCATCTTCCCCTATACATCATCTGCAGTGTGGAGAGGACTGTTAAGCATGATTGCCTGGTGGGTCTTCACAATATGCAACTGTATAGTGTCATGGGAATAGCGCTGTGCTGGAAGATACTTGGAAGGATCTTTGAGGGTAAACAGGTTCTGTGCATGTTCATGAATTTGTGACTTATGGTGCTTTGATTAGTAAAGGCCAAGGGAACACTACAACTAGATCTGTGAGAAGTGATTTGTATGGTAGTCTGAGCAGACTGAGGTCTAACCTTGAGAGATGGTGAGGAAGGCCAACATTGATGCTTTGTACTTGAGAATATTGCAGGGCACAGCTGTACAATATGGACTGTCAAGCTATTAAGGGCATCATTTTCCTACTTGTTCATTTATACAAACCTACAACATATATCCGAAAATGTTGAAAAGTGTCATGTTGGACAGTGTACCTCCATGTTTGTGTTCAGTGTCAAGAAGCAGCCTGTTGGAGGCTGCAGAACATTCCACGTGACATTGCTGCAAGTTCTTCTTCTGCCAGTGATAAAGGACGTGATGAACAGTGTGTCCGTCTCCATGGATGTCACACAGGAGTGATCATCACACCAAACATCACCCCTCAGTGTTGAAAATATAGCATTTGTCAGGAGCATATATAGAATTATTGAACTTGTGTTCATAGAATCTTCCCATCTGCAGATGCAGATACTGTAGACTAAATCTTGTTTGTGGAGTATCCACTGGTCAGCAGAAACTGGCCATCTGATTATGCAACTGCACACTGCGAAGAAGACTACTGGAGTCTTTCTAAGGTTGTTGATTCTGCCCTGTATGGTCAGTGAAGAACTCCACTGATTGTTCTGTTGGAGTTGGTACCCAAACCTCTTGTGACTTCCCCATCCAGGAAAACACTGTTGCTCCTCACATTTCTGGTCATAACCTACCTTTCACTGGTAACTGTTACATGTGATATTGTTCAGTATTCTGTGCTAGTGCTTTGTAGAAAGCTGTTGCTTTAAGGTAAGAAGTTAATTGTGAAGTGTCAAGAAATATCTAAATAGGAAAACAGGTACCCAAGAAACATATCGTAACTCAGTTCTCGGTCAAATGGTAGGTACTTATAGGTAAGGTAATTAGAAGTGTTGAATTTGAGCATATGTAACTTTCTGTTAGACGGATTAAAGCAGACAATTGTCTCCTACCTTGATGCTAGAGTTACCTTCCCTGTGAAGGTTACAAAGAGTCTTGGAGGTCATGCTATATGAAGCAGATTTTGTCACCTGATGCTAGAGTTACCTCCCTGTCAAGGTTACAAAATGTCCTGGAGGTCATACTGTAAGAAGCAGATTGTTGGCACCTAATGCTGGAGTTACCTTGCCTGGTAAGAGAACACCTAGATCTTCCACAGTTATGTCACATGCTAAAACTCCAGGTGTACTGTCTACTGTAGTTCTTCATCCTGTTTATAAGCAGCTCTTCAGCTGTGGAACAATTTTGTACCAGTGTGTAGTGTAGTCTTGGGAGAATCATTTCAGTTTAGAGAGATTGTCAAATATCATTCTGTCATGAGTAACCTCAAGGTATCTTTGTGAAGCTTTTATCAGAATACTTAAACATTATACCTAATTCCAAATTTGGTTAGTTTCTAAGTAAAAACATGTTCTCCGTATAACGTTCTTCATAGATAGTGGCATATTGTTTCAGTTCAAGTGACGATTGACATAATTAAGTTTAATATTTTTTTCATTTAAGGGGAAGTGTTTATGGTTTTCTCTTTTAAGAAGTGTTGGAAGTGGGGTTTATGTTTCAAAACTAAAGGTTATGGGTTTCATTGATCATTTCATTGAATCAAATTTTATAAATTTAATGTCTTAAAAACTCAATTTTTGTTTATTGTGGTGTATTTATTCTCTGTCAATCAAACATTCCAAAAACTCAAATGCCCCACCCACTTTCATCACTTGACCATGTTGCTCCAATTGTCTGGATAAACTGAGCTTTATGTTAATATTGACCTCTCACCCTGTGCTCTGTCTGCATCAGATGCTTCTTGATGTTTTCCTATGAACATCCAGATTTATAAGGTTTTTGATTGGTGAGAATGTTGCTCTTTCACCATTGTAGTTATAATATGTGTTGTTCATGAATTGTGAAGAGTTCAATTGTGTACCCGGTAGTACTCACTTAAAGATTGAACATCTGAATGATAGTATGCTCTGATTTGATATTGCATTGTATCAGGCAGTTTACACTGTATATTAACCACATTTAATTATGTACAGTGGGCTCTGTGTGCAGTTTGCAGTTTTTGACAATGTTGAGTTTGATAGCTAGCTACTGTAAATAATTTGTGTTGCTAGTACCTGAAGACAAGACCCAACTTAGGACTGAACCCAGATGTGAACCTAGACCTGAACAAGGACTGAACCTTGGCTTCAGTTTTGTTATAAAACATGTATGGATTATGATATATGTGCAATAATATTGTGTTGATGTGCTTTCATTCTCACCTCCTGACCCTGGCTCATGTGATCTTACTGTACAATATTGCCAGCACTGAACCAGTAGATACTTAAACCCTGTCAAAATAGACCTGGTAAACTTACAGTTCCTCCAAATGGTTGCACACAAGCATCTTCATACAGACACAGTGGCAATGAAAGACAGGAGAACCTCCTCACTTGAAAGTTGTCCTATTTTCAACTAGGGAAATCTAGTATAGGAATCCTTATAGGAATAAGGGTCATCCTTTTTGAAAAATGAGTTAGAAAGATGGGACAGTGGTGTAAATTAGGCAAACACTTGCCACAAGATTTCCTTGTAGTTCATCTCAGAATATTGATAATATGTCTGCATGTTGATCTAAAAAGGTTAAGTTGACAAGTCACGTTTGATTTATTGAACAGTGAAGGTTCTTGAAGATTTTTTGGCTCACAAGTTGATTGGTGTTTCCCAAATCTTCACCATCTTCCAAAGGTTTAAAGATATTCTAGCCTGGTTCATTTCTTTCAGATTTTAAAGACCCATATATTCCTTGTGTACCATATATCAAAGATTAAACTTTCTATGAGATGGAAACATATTTTTGTCCACAGACAGATGGGCTTTCCTCAACAATCCTTACTTTAGTTGCCACTGTGTAGAAGAGACATAATATTCTGTGAATCATGAATAATAGTTGTATTGTCTGTAATAATACAGTATCGGAGCAATGTATGATATGTCATTGGGTGTAACTTAATTTGATCCGTGTTATAACATGTGTATTTACAATCTGTATCTTCACTAGTATATAAACATATTGAATCATTTGAACTCTTGATCAAGCTTTTCACAGCTTGCCTCCATGTGTACAAACAGATTAGTGGATCAGCTGGGTATATTACCCTTGTTTTGAATACATTATCAGAGGAATAAATATCCATTTTATTCAGATGGATAATTACATGATATGATAATGAGGACATATTGAAATTGGAATTTAAGATAAAAAATAGAGTATTTGCAATGAAGGTTTGAAGCAGTCGAGTTGGCAAAATGAAATCTGTAAAGGGATTGTATTTCCACCCATTGTGATAATGTTCTGTGTGTGCGTGCATAATATTGTCATGAAGTCAGACCACAGCTTGTTGCTTACATGACTAGAAGAATGCATTTGTCCTTGAAACTGTAAGTATATCTTCAAGGTATATTCCTCTTTTACTGATGCAAATGTATAGCAAGCATTGTTTGAGGATATTTAATTCACTGGAACAATTTCAATTGTCCCTTCTTCTTGGCTATTGAAACAACACAAAAAACACTATGTTATCTCAGTGCGTTCTGTTGACTAACACTTTTTTAAGTGCATTTCATTTCTGTGTGCAATTGATACAGCAAATTATAACATATTATTTATTAGAAAGTGATAAATGTTGAAAGAATTGTACTGATATTGGAATATGCTGTTGAAAATGATATTCATGTTGTGTCTATGTTGTGGTCCAAGGGAGATAACTCCCAACCTCAATGTTCTATAGATGTTGAAGTCTTCATGTCCGAAATAATGTGCTGCTTTCATGGAAGCAGGCATAAAAGACTACACAAATTGTTGATAGTTTTCAAGTTGAATTTGGTTATTTATTCTTGTGTCTTAAGATATATGGGAGTGTCTGAAGACTGAGTTATTGAAAACATCTCTGAAACAAACATGTTTGTTTCCTGTTAGTGGTTTCTTGTTTTGAAAACAGGTGTTGTCCAGTTTCATAGAATATTCCTCACAAACTGAACTGATTCAGGTGTTAATTTGAATGGATTTACCATTTACAACAGGAGCTAATAGTCACATAAGTCTCAACACCCATTTTTCTCTTTCGACAATGTGATTTTTTGTCCCGCATCTTACACAACCTCATCTTTGCTTTCATAGTATAAAATGTGAAGTCTTGGCAGATTTGTTCTGAAAGATTTGACATGTACATGCTCCATGTGAACCAACTGTGCATCTGTCTCCCCCCTGTAATGATGGGTGTTCTCCACCCACACCTAAACAGTGACTTTGTGAAACCACCCTCCCAGTGTCCCTCCTTCTCCAACTGTTGTGCTTGCTCTCTACGTTCTGTGATTCTGTATGCCTGTATGATATGAAAGACTGTAAGCCATTATATATGTATTATCTGTGCTACTCTCGGATATGAAAGAATTGAATAAAACATATTTAATGTAATTCTGTATTGTGTCTTTTCTGCGTATGAGGATTTAGTTTGTAACTGATATGAAACTGAAATAAGATAATCTAGTCACTGATGTAGATATTGATGTGGGTAAGAAAACATGAAAGTTACTGCTTGTCATTTCTATTTGGTTTGATTCCAAATACATCATGCTTCTCAGGTGGGCATTTGTCAATACAATGTGCTAAAAGTCGCTTGTAGAACATGCACATGTTCATACTATCAAATGATGTTAATTTTGTTAAAGGTCACATGCAACGTAAAACACAACATTGCAGATTCTAATACCGAAACAAATCGTCAAAAATGCAAATTCAACTTATAAAGTTGAAAAATAACGCGATGAAAAAAACCGCGCGAAATCGGAGTTCAAACGTTTCACTAATTTTCCCCCCGACTTTTGGGGGGAAAACTGGTTTCAACAGCTGGACTGCGCTCATAGCATGTGCGTAGTGAAATAGGTTCCCGCAGCTTGGAAGAGGGTTGTCCGGTGAAGGCTTTGGTGTGAGCTATTTTTCTAATGTTTTGTTGATATCTCACATGCGCGAGCTTTTTATATGTTATGACAGTAATTTAACTGTTTATATAATTTCATTTGTCTATTTCACCACACGTTCTTCTTACCGAGTCACTTTCTCAGTTCGATACTTAAAAGCAGGGAGACTCTATAAGTCTGTAGAGTATCCCTGTTAAAAGCAATGTCATTATTTAGCTTTGACAGAATTTCTAACTGTGATATAGATATGTCGTTGTCACAGACAAAACTCAATGTCTTGTTTTATTGACACCTGTGTGTCTGCCTGCCTGTCTGCTAATGACAATAGTCAATACACAGCTGCTATCACTGACCACATCCAGTTTGAACTTAACACCAATCAGGCTATACACCATAAACAAAATGCATTGATTTATGGCCCGAGTTCGGTCTCTGTCACATTATGTAATTACACAGACAGGCAGGTGTGATACTTGTACACATGACATGTTATGATGTCTGTTGATTGCAAAATGTTATACACAAAAAATGAGCATGTATTTACAAAACCCAACATCTCTATATACACACACAATGAGCCGTGAGAGCATCTGCAAATGAACCAGCCGTTACACTTGAGTGCACACCCACCCGCTCTGACTGGGTTCGATATGCCGGGTGCTTTGTTTCTTGGGAAGTGAACCCAAGTACACAATATTGCACTTTTGATTTGCGATTGTACGCTTATAATTTTGTTTATATGTTTTTTCATAACCAGCAATGTATATTATATGTCATGAATAAGTGATAATTGTGTTTTAATTATGTTTGATTTTTTGGTTGCATGTGACCTTTAACTGTGGATTGAAAAAGATAACCAAGGAATTCCAAGGACTGAAGAACTTTTTGAATACAATAGTATACCAGTGCAACACAACATGCAGGTCTTGACTGGATCTCAAGCAATGACTAAGTTCTGTACTAAATAGGATATCCCAAGGATCATAATATCCTTTTGTTGTCTCACATCCTTGTGTATTTGCTACTGTATTTCTTTTCCATTTCTTACCAGTGCTCCATTTTAAAAAACTATCACAGCCATTTGACGACTGCCGTCGTAAGTCACTTACAGAGCCGACAGCTTACTACACTGTCGTAAGTCACTGTTACAGTATAGGAGGTATGACAGTATGACTGTCATAAGTCAGTTACAGTATAGAGGTATGACAGTCATAGCCACATAAGTCACTGTCACAGTTACAGTAGGGAGGTATGACAGTCACAGCTCTACAACTGTCGTAAGTCAATGTTACAGTATAGGAGGTATGACAGTCACAGCGCTACGACTGTCGTAAGTCACTGTTACAGTATAGGAGGTATGACAGTCACAGCGCTACGACTGTCGTAAGTCAATGTTACAGTATAGGAGGTATGACAGTCACAGCGCTACAACTTCGTAAGTCAATGTTACAGTATAGGAGGTATGACAGTCATAGCGCTACAACTGTCGTAAGTCAATGTTACAGTATAGGAGGTATGACGGTCATAGCGCTACGACTGTCGTAAGTCAATGTTACAGTATAGGAGGTATGACGGTCATAGCACTACGTGGCTATCCTGTTATATTTTGAAGTAAAACATGACAATGCTGCAATGGTAAAATACTTTTATTTATATAAATAAATAGTATTGGAACAATATGAATGTTGATGCCATGATACTTGTATCCACTATCTGACTGTACATGCAGTACCCACAGCCGATATAGACTAACCCACAGTATATCAAAGGAATACATAACAGCTACAGGAAACAGTGTTTGCTAAAATACTTCCAAAGTCTCTGCTGTACGCTTTTTCCCAGCAATGCATTACAAAATCGCATTCCAAACTGAATGAAGTCATGTCATGACAATATTAGTGCCACATGACAGCCTGCAGTGGGACCAGGTCAACACTGTGACCTTCAGGACATGATGAAGACAAAAGTGGCATTCATGGCGTGATGAAGACAACAGTGTGACCAGTGGGACACTGTGACCTTCATGGCGTGATGAAGACAACAGTGTGACCAGTGGGACACTGTGACCTTCATGGCATGATGAAGACAACAGTGTGACCAGTGGGACACTGTGACCTTCATGGCGTGATGAAGACAACAGTGTGACCAGTGGGACACTGTGACCTTCATGGCGTGATGAAGACAACAGTGTGACCAGTGGGACACTGTGACCTTCATGGCGTGATGAAGACAACAGTGTGACCAGTGGGACACTGTGACCTTCATGGCGTGATGAAGACAACAGTGTGACCAGTGGGACACTGTGACCTTCATGGCAACAGTGATGAAGACAACAGTGTGACCAGTGGGAAGACACTGTGACCTTCATGGCGTGATGAAGACAACAGTGTGACCAGTGGGACACTGTGACCTTCATGGCGTGATGAAGACAACAGTGTGACCAGTGGGACACTGCCTTCATGGCGTGATGAAGACAACAGTGTGACCAGTGGGACACTGTGACCTTCATGGCGTGATGAAGACAACAGTGTGACCAGTGGGACACTGCCTTCATGGCGTGATGAAGACAACAGTGGGACACTGTGACCTTCATGGCGATGATGAAGACAACAGTGTGACCAGTGGGACACTGCCTTCATGGCGTGATGAAGACAGCAGTGTGACCAGTGGGACACTGCCTTCATGGCGTGATGAAGACAACAGTGTGACCAGTGGGACACTGCCTTCATACAGATACTGACATGAAATCCTACTGCTTTAATCGCCTTTTATGGCAAGGACTGAGATGCAGGCACCAAAATGACAACTGTTCATTTCATAATCATATTGTAAATTAAACATAAATGATATAAAAAGTTTTTCAGTTTACTGAAGAACTATTAGAGTTACTTGAACTTGCCTATTACTTGTAGTCAAGACAAAACAACACATATTCAAGAATTGAAACAATAATTGTCCCCTGCCTTTACCTAAAGTAAGATTGTTTCAACAAGAAATTTCTTGTAGAAAGAGCATGTTAAACCATTCTGACATTAAACCACTGACCTGACATTTACAAGTTAGGTTATCATGAAAGATGGTGCAAGTCCTGTGTATTTCTGTAATGAAAGGAATGTTTGTCGCTTTTGGAAAATGGCTGTCCTAGTCTTCAACTCTGTAGTCCAATCAGTACATACTCAAATTAAAACAATACAAATTTAACTTCATACATAGTGACTGACAAAGCTTTAAGCTTCCTTTGACCAACTTTGTGAAAACACATTCCTGAACTAACTCCAATTGTGTGCAAAAATTGTGCCAAAACCACAACCATAGCTATTTCAGTAAATTTCAAGTTTTAAAATTTTTAACATTTAGGTACCAAACATTAGGTTTGTATTGAAAACGTGACCAAAGCAACAAATCAACTGTGAACATGTAACTGAAACATGTAATGATGCATCCTGTTGTTTAACCGTATCACAGACACTGCATCCCATGTGCTGAGGCCACAGGACACACAGATGCACCTTCATGGAAGACTCGGGATTGACCAGTCGGGCAATTTTAGCACATGAAACAATTTCAGAAGTGAACTGTCCCTGAAACACATCACCATGTTTGTGCAGCCTAGACAGTTCCGATTGGTCAATGAATACTAAGATGAGTTGCTATCACATAAGTGGTTCACATGGGCCAGCACCCCTGCTGCAGTACAGATACAGGGTAGTAGAGACTAGCCATTTGAGGTGGGTGGGGACCCACCGGTATAGGGGAGGGTAATAACAGTGTAGACGTGGGTCATGGTGAAAATGTCAAAGATCAGATCATGTATACGCCCAATGTACTTCAGCCACTTGGATTCTTGGGAGGTCCAAGAGACAGTCCATGTACAATGGGTCAAATTTTTCTTCATGGACTCCCCACCTCCACAGCCACTAAGCCTTCCCTACGATACAATACCTACATTAAACAGATGGAATGTCAATATTTAACAAATCACTGGGCGAACCACATTGTAGACCATGTGCATTAAAACACTGGAACATCCACTAATTCTGACAATGCCTGAATGGGAATATAGTAGCCACATATGCTCCAACATAATAACATTTTATCCAAATACGATGTTTGTGTCATCTGTCTCTTTTTTAAAACAATAACATCTGACAGAAACTACAATTTTTACTGTAAATATATCATTCATACAACTTGTAATCTCATCTGATATGTTACATCAAAGGAATAAGTTAAACGTTCCTCACTCAAAGCTCCTGCTGTGTGCAGACATTTGAACTTATAACATGAGATTCGGACACTAAATGCAGATTGAGCGTAAAACCTACAGTAGGCTCACTCTATATGACAACTGCCTACACTTACATCTCACACTGCCTACACTTACATCTCACACTGCCTACACAGATCACTCTTCAGAAATATTTTAATACACACATATGTATATATCATGTATACTTGTTAGAATTATGACATAGCACTGTATTAAACATTTATACTCCTCTTACAGACCTGTGTCGGAAAATACTTAAAATAGATTTTATATTTGTCTTGTTAAAATAAATATCTTCTTTCTCAAGACCTTACAATCACTTACACCACTCAGTCTATTCTGAAACGGTCTTGAGAAATAAGAATGTATTTGAACTAGCTTGGCCTTCATCTTAAAGTTCATACAAACAATGACTATAAAACAATGATAATACCCTTATACACAGTAAACACTGCAAAGCACTTTACCAACTTCAGAAATATTGTCTTGGCAATTCAGTATACATTTATAATTCATCTGCATTAAAATGTTCCTAAATCAATATTCTATCTCTATTATATGCTATCTTAACCAAACATAATTATCATACAAAGTATTTCAATATTCCAAAAATAGTAAATTTCCCTTAAATAATACTGACATACTATGTAAACCATTTCAAACACTCAGTATCAACTTCCAGTCTTAGTAAAAAGTAGCACTTGGTTTCACATAAATCGTAGAATATTCAAATGACTGGGTTCATTGAGTGACTTCATAATAAAATCACTATCAATAAATTAAAGAAAAAAGTAATCAGATCTTTATCACCATGCACCATAAATACTACAGTAAATGTCAATAACACCTCAGTTATTCATGTTACAGGGTACAGAGTGTTTTAATTACCATGCCTAACTGCCCTAAACATGTATATGTCTTCAATACAATTACCATTCCATCATCACTGCACCTCAAAACAAATGGCAAGCAACTGGTCAAAGACAATCCAACTCAAATTATTTCTTTGGTTAAATCATTTCAACTATTATTTCACTACAAAAAATGATGCGAGACTCTCTAATCAAGTGTTTACAAAGAAAACAGTGATAAAAATGCATGTTGTTGAATGCAGAAGCACTCTCCACAGCAGACAAGCCAAGCTTCTTGACTGAAAAGTTCAGAGATCAGAAAACAATTGAGAACACTGAAATATCTGGTAAATTCTAAATTTGGCATTAATCATTTGATACTTATACATAATAAATATTCACGTTTGATAATCAAAGAAGTATCGGAGATAATAATTTGTTATTACATTAACATTTACATGACTAAATATTATGTCAAAAACGTAAAACTAAACCAGACCAAGAGTAAAACTAAATCACAACTCGTACAGATCTGTCCAAACATGACAAAATTCCTGTCTGGGAAAAAATGAAAACAAGTTACGAAAGAAAACAATGAATCAACACGTGTCTGATGATTGACATAAACATAAAATATCTACTCTAGAAAAGAAAATACTCCGATAAATAATGCTGGAAATATACTTTGGACATCACAACCTAAACTCATGGATAGAACAGTCCATATCTCCTGATCTATGAGTCATGAACTCAGCTGGAGTAAAGACATCTAAATGTGGTCATGTTTAATGAGACAAGTCTTGCTTGCCATGTGGTCAGGTAATTCTAAGGAAACATTTAAGATGCGGATTAACAACAACTGTATCTCATAAAACTCTAATGAATTCAGAATAGATGTGGACTAAGTTTAGTGATGGATTACAAAGGGATACGACAACAGAATCAGTAATCAGGGTAACAAGATGACTGAAAAATGTCTGTCATTACAGGTTACATGTATGTGTTACAGGCCAGTAAATTGTGTGTACACTGATCAAGTAAACATGTCCATTCAAGAATAAATAGGAGATACAGCCATTAGTGTTCTGATATGGATAAGCTTCTACACAGGAAAGTATTTGGTTGTAATAAACACAAAATAATATACATATATATGTACAAAACTCTATAAAATAATTCTCTTAATAGATTGGGGAGAGCTTAAAGATTAAGCATGTTAACATGCTCTGTGTAAAAGAACTATCACTCTCTATCACAATTGGGACCCACTATCTAATATTCATGGGGGGTGGGGGGCAGCTAGGGTTTTTGCAGAACAATTTCTCCTTAGATTGACCAAACAAAGATCTGGGTAAATTATTCTCTGGGCATACTGTAAGTTTTGAAAAGAAGTTTGCTGTGAAAAATGCAAACAGTTCTACTCCTTTCACAGGAAAGCACTTTTTTTAAGTATAAGCAGTGACTGAAAATAAATCCTGCCCATAAAATCCACGTGTAAGGCCCTCCCCTAGAATAATAAATCGGGGGTGTCTAACTAAATCATGTAAGTTATGAGTGCTTGAAATTGAAAATAATCCTCCCGAAAAGACCAAATATTAGAATAAAGGAAACTCAAGCTGTATTATAAAGTAAACATATTCATTAAGTTGTGATCAATACAAAACAGATTACAAATACATGCCTGTTGCTTATACCATGCATATGATCTGACACAAGTCTATAGAAAGAATCTGGTATGGCGTATTTGCATAAATAATTATATAGGACATTTTTTTCTGTGACCAACTTGTTTACCTGCTATTTAGATATAAAATATAACTCTAAAATATGATGTACAAGTTATAACAGTTGTAATGATATTGGTGGGCTAGTTGAGACATTACATACCTCTAATATCAACAGTTGCTGAAATTCACAGTAAGATCTCTGTGAGGGACTGAATAACACCATGGAAAAACCATTCAGAGAGTTCAAATCCATTCTCCTTCACCACAATCAAGGCAAAATGTTAGAATACCCAACGACCATGTATGTCTTCATGTTGCCACAGAGGTCTCACTGTAATCTGACAACACGTATTTGGTCATCTATCACAAATATTAGCTGACTGGATAGGTACTGATTCACAATATACAATTATGTCCTGCTGGATGAAAATATACATATATTAACGGGACAGTTATATATAGATTTACACTGAAGAGATTGACCAATCTGCCAACCAGCAAATCACAATGTTAATTTAAAACATACACTGAAACATATGACTAGTATTTTCAAAAGTAATGAGATTCATTCTTGTCTCATATACATCCTCCACAATCCTATTTGTGAAATTTTATCAATATGTCAAGTGGCTTTGCTCATTTGTGACATTCAATGACAGAAGATAATTATATAAATTCATGGCACTACTTTAACTAGTGACTGACGTATTTGCATAGTAACCTCACAGCATGCAGAGCCAATGAACCTGTCATAGGTCATCATGAAACTCGCATGTGCTTGGCAGTGCTTTCATTGTGTTATTATTTGGTTGAACTGTGTAATAATGTCAAAAATGTGGACATTAAAATTATCTAAAACAGCACACTCCAAGTAGAAAGTATTCAGCCATATTGGTTAACAAGGAGGGGACATAACTCTCATTTCCACTTCCTGTGTGAAGACACTACTACCTTGATGACAACATACAACGTCTCTTCATCTACTAACGACCCCACTCATTTTTTTCAACAAGATTGAGTTGAATCAGATTTCAATCATTATTAATTTCAATATTGAGAATTTACATGAGTCAATAAATTAAACCAGTGCATGACAAATCTGAAGAAATCCACAGAAAAAGTCTTGTCCCTGAGTTGAGGAGACAAATCCAATGAGATGAACTTCAGCACACCACATGACCAACAAGGTGAAAGTAATCATGATCTCTGTCACATACAGCAAAGGACAGGAGATGTCTGGATATGATACACAAACCAAATAATCTGCTGCCATCATAGTTACAATGATATGTCTTGAGTAATGGTTTGGACCTCACTAAAACAATGTCCTGTCATTTAAATCTGAGCACATAGTTAGACAATCAGTGATTAACATACCCATACAATTCACCTCTCAAGCCTACACTGATACATTCTCTCTTCTTCCGGTGGATCCTCTTCAGTACTCTGGAGGTGAAGTGTGAAAGAGAGGGACGTCTTCTTGTCTTGTTATGTACTGTCAGTCTACTGATCCTAATACAATCCTTCTTTTGGCTGGAAACTGATAATAAATCCTATCTCAACATGTTCGTGTCATGTACAGATTCTATGCCCTGCTGATATATTCCAGTCACCACTATTGGTACATCAACCTAGATCCTAAGTCTGTTGCTGTGGGTGACGTCAACATCTTCATCGCAGTCATCCTAGGCTGTTTCTGTAGATGATGTTTTAGTAAAATGTCCAACTAACAAATAACAGAATTGTTATTTTTGTCAAATGCCCCAAACTATGTACAGGTTAACTGATCTGCATTAAAAGAATCCATGGTGCTGTGGTGAAGCCAAGGAGCCCAAAGTAGACATGAAGACTACAGTTGACTAAGCCAGGTGATTAAAAAAATACTTCTGTAAGCAGGCTCTCCTCTGTCTTCAGCCAGATTAGCTCCTTCATCATCTTCTCCACATATTCTTTACATGCTACGGAGACGACTCATTTACAGTCCTTGCACACATATTGGCTAACAGAGTTCAAAATAATAATACCAGCCCTCGGCAACGCAAAAAAGACCAGCTACCCTTTTCAAATTCCTCTTTGTCTATTAACCATTATCTGAGCAAGAAGCAATATCATCAAAACGTGGGAGGATCTGACTCCAGCGCCTCGGGACAGTGTACCAGCACTTTGGTCAGAAGGCGATCGATGTAAGCACGCATGTCCTTGTTCTCAAGCTGCAGTTTTGTGTAGCTTTCTTTCAGAGCTGAAATCAGACAAAACATCATTTCTGGTTAACAGATTGCATGAATTTGAAACAAAAACAAATGTCCATATGAAATAATTGTCTTCTGTGTGCTGCCTTTATCTAGTAATTGCAGACATGACCTAAAAGAGATTTCAGAGCACATGGAATGTTGAAACTGGGTCTGGGAATTCAGGAGAAAAACCTTGCTTGATGAATCACAGCAGCCTCAGGTTTGCCTGCCGTAAATGCTCATGGCTAAATACGTTTTTTTGACTAAGCTATCGACAGTTAAAATTCGCAAGACATTCTATGATTTTCAAAACAATAAATTCAGTGAAAGACATTACAGCAGAACTAAATCCACACTTACTCAGATTTTCTTTCTGTAACTTTTCAACTTGCTCTTTCAGTTCTGCTTTCGATATACCTGAAAGGATAGAGATTCACTTACTGAACAAGGACATTAGAGAAACCACTCATGCTAACACAAACAATAGGCAATGTGCTTGAACACATACTTAAGTCTAATGAACTATGTTTGAAAGGCTTGGAAACATGCTGACTGTACCAGAAGTACCCATCAGGCGCACCAATGATCAATTATATCATGTATGTATCATTAACTTAGGCTTATGTACAGCAAGAAGAACTGAAGGATCTTATGAACTCTTACTTCTCCTCTCTGGGACATCCCTCAACATGGCAGACTCGCTGGAGCGGCGTACATGCTTCATGAAGTTCTTCTTGAAGCGTCCTCCCTCCATGTTGTCCGAGCTCCTGATGCGAGGCAGGGAGTTAGATGTGTACTGAGACTGTAACAGATTGCGGACAACATTCTTCATTTAGTCACACTCATGTTTTTCCCTTTTGAGCATAAACTAAGTCAAGAAATGCCTGGGCAAATATTGATTGATTGTTATGATTAACAAAGGTAAAAATAATTTTTAACGGTAATCTTATCAAAATATACCAAAGGAAAGAAAAGAGAGACAGGTTATAAAAGGATATGTGTTGTGCATCATTATTTCATATGTATCATTAGCATGAATAGATATTATGATGGTACAGTGACTTGTTTTGTTCATATAGGACATCTTACTATAAACAGCAGCGTACATGAATATCCACTGTAAGTATGTTCCTTTTTATGTTTCAAACAGTGTATTTGAAGTGGTTATTACTCAACATCAACATATCACTCCTGGAGCAGAATGTTGTGCAAATGGCATATACCTTCAGTACTCTATCAAACTCAGACAGCCCCCCTGAACTGCCATGAAAGTACGGACACTTCTCACTCACCTCTTTCCTGGGTTGAGGTGCTGGTGGTTTAGTCTTTGGCTGAGCTGGTATACTGGCCTCTGTAGGCACATGGCTGTCTTCGAGACTCAGGGATGTTGTCCCGCTGTCATTTGGCAGGCACGTCTCTCCTGTGTCATCCTCTTCCACCTTAACCGAAGTATCCACAAACGTAAACACATTTTTCAGAACACTCTGACCTCCTGATACTGTCTCAATCCACAAATCCCCTTTCCCAGGGGTTGTTGCATTTGTGATACATGTAACAGCATTCTCAGATTCGTATTCCACACTGTTCAGCAAATCACACCCACATAGCTGCAGTTCTATCAAGTCCGACTTGCCAATTCCAAGATGCTGCCCAGTAATCCTCAGCTTGGTTCCTCCTTCAATCGGGGCACTGTTTGGAGTAATAGCGCTGATGACCGGCGGCTGACTCGAAGCATCAAGTTCCGCATTACTCTTAAACTTCCAGCCAAATTTAGACTGGTTTCTGGAGTTGGTGTCATCATCATCGGACGACTTGCCAAAACTGAATATATCGTGTATTGACTTAGAGAGCTTTTTGTTGAAGTTGGACAAGGAGTTACTACTCTTGCTGTCCCTCTTTTCCCGATTTGTTCGAGGGGGTAGTATTGGAGATGCTGCTAGGCTGTGGCGCAGACGGGCGAACCCAGTCAGCGTGGCCCCACTGCTGTTAGGGGTACTGGTCTTAATGAGCGGTGTTTGGGAGACTGGGCGTTGTTTGGACACGTAGCACTGGTAGATGAGTTCCCCTTGGGGATGCAGACATTTTTTATGGCTCTTGAGAAACACACGCTTTACCTGACCTTGGGTTGTTGTCAGTCCCGCCAGGGGCACGAGCACTTGGCCCAAGATGTCCTCCTTCTCGGTGACAGTGAAGAACACATGGTCTCCAGTGTAACCTACATTCCTGTGGAGAAAGAAGGGGAATGAAGACATGAACGTGAGTTTACCCATCTTGATTAAAACCATCATCTCTGTTGTTACCTAGATTCCCAGTAGTCGTGAAAGGTGCGAATGAGTGACTTTGAATGAGTTCAGATTGAAGCCACTTTGAACAGTATTTCACTTACGTCACGGTGTTACCTTATATCGGAGGGAAAGTGAGTCAGTGGTACAGGTCTTACACGTTTTCCCCAATTTGGTGATATCCACATGCACGCATGATATCATTTGAACAAAATATCACACCCTTATGGCATGCCTCAAGGACAAAACAGCGAATTATCCTACTGAATGAAAAATAGCAATCGTGTGAACAAATGCTGACTCAAGCTGAAAATTTATCACCAAACAAGATACAAAGATGTACAACTAACAGCAGTGTCAAGAACCTATCTTACACCATGCATCTGGCTACTCAAAACAATGAATCTTCACAAATCTGAATTGATTATTCCAGCTTTGAGGACATAATACTGACATTCAGGAGTGGAAATAACCCACTGCCCGACGTCCGAGTCCAGTGATTATTTCTGTTGGGCAAGCAAATTTGTATATCACACTGTACCGGTGTCCAGTTGATTTACCAATGTTAATTATGTTGATTATTCAAAAATGAACAAGAAAATCGGCCAGTATAGTGGAAAAATTATCAGGGCAAGTGATTTTACATGTGCCACTGTACCAGAGTACGCTAGCAATTTTAGAGTTATTTCCACCCCTGACATTAGTTGACATAATATCTTCAACAAGTTGTCAGTTCAATTTTAATATTAGTGATGGATTATTTCGTATCTTCTTTTCTTATTTATGGAATGCATACCAGAAAAAAATTGTTCATTTTTCAAAAACCTAATTTGGACCTAGCATATAAAAACTGTGCTACCAGTATGAAACAGTTGATGACAGTGCAACCCTTGTCCTAAAATCCATTTCTTGTGAGTAGCCTTCACGTTATTTTGTGAGCATCAAGTTGAGGAATTTAATCAATACTGCTAGCTAAAAGCAACAGAAGAATAATCATGAGTGCACACTTCAACATTGTCACTCTGTCCCGAATGTGTTTGCTTTGGACAGTTACTGTGTAGCGAGCTCATGAATGTTCAACTCACACTGTTGATTCCTCATTCCAGTCTGGGTTTCCTGGTGGGTCTTTCACAATGCTGGTACGATATTTCTTGGATCCAACACCAAATATCACAGAGAATTTACACCGCCCTACAAAAATAAAGGTAAAGTCAAAATGGGCAGCCACTATCAGTTATATCACAGCAACATGGCGTCCTTGTCCCTGCCAATAACAGATTTTCCCAGGATATCATCCCTCACCCTCCAGGGAGCTGTGTATGTTACAGGATACGTGAAGACTCCCTGCCCTATCTTTCTATCAACAATATTTTGATCACAATAATAAAATTGCTGTAACAGCCACAAACGTGTTGTTATAGATAATAGTTTAACCTGTTAATATCAAACAGCAGATGGCACCTGGTAACAAAGAGAAGGAATTTCAAGGAAATGTGAAAATAAATATTAGAATACTGTAAGTCATGCTAAGTGTATCATCAAATGAATGCAAGTGTCCTTGCCTGTGAACTAAAAACATGATGACACAAAGATTGTAGACTGTTAACATTGGTTGGTTTGCTGCACTCGTCAATATTCCAGCTATGGCGGTGGTCTGTAAGTAATCGATTCTGGACCAGACAATCCAGTCATGAACAGCTTGAGCATCGATCTATGCAATTGGTGTATGATGACATGTGTCAACCAGGTCACCCGATCCCGTTGTATGGGATCATAGTATGGGATCATAGTATACAAACATCCTCATCAACTTGAGTTAACAAACAGGGAACATTTCGGACCAGAACTAGGTGAGAAGCACTGTCGAAATCTAACACTCTGTTACATGTAGAAGATCAGGATGTTGTCAGCTAGGTGGAGCAGGAAGAGGCAAATGGGTGACATCAAAACAAACAAGTCAACATTTCATGTTGCCACCACCTGAAAGAACATCTCACTTACCCCTACTGTGCCCACTGTTAAGGTGAGAACATTTCACCCAAGAAAGCCCCATTGTTTGACATTGTTTTAGGACCCAAAACCTAAAGTGGGCAGAGCAGGGAGGGTACCAACCCAACTTCCTCTTTTTTACTTCAAACAAAACCTAAAGTGGGCAGAGCAGGGAGGGTACCAACCACTCTCCTACCCAGAGTTCCATGCGGCAAGCCAGCATAGTACCTCTGCCACAGGCCATAAAAATGTGACGATTCGTCACATCTTGCAATGTCCATTCAATATAATGTACAGATTTCTTTTATTTTTTTATTTTTTGGCGAGTCTACACATCTAACTAAACATCTTTAATAAAATGGTTTAGTTTCACTGAGAAAATATCCAAAAACATGAAACACTATTTCGATTTGCGTAGCGATCCTTTGTTTACATAGGTTGTACGGCTGCACGTGCTGTCATCGAAGCTGATGGAGAGCAAACGATGCAGCCAGTTTGAAATATAAATATGTACTGTCATAGACCTTACTGTCGCAGTTGTGGAAGAATATATATGCAACAATGTAAAACATTATGAAGAGAGCGCTGAAAAGCTTTCGTGAGTCCAGTATCATCTTATTATGAATATGCGCGTTTGATTACAAACAAGAGAAAAGTCTGGTCACGTGATATGCACATTAGCCTGTGGCAGTGATGTTATGCTAAGTCATCACTGCGCCGGAGTGTGGGTACCAACCCAACTTCCTCTTTTTACTTCAAACAAAACATACATGTGGGTGTGGAGAAATGTCCGACTCTGAGTTGGGATTTAACAAGTTGGGAATTTTCCAGTGAGGAAATGTCTGGACCCCATTGCACACACAGATTACTATGTTCCTTGTTAGTACAGGAACATTCCCAAGATCCATAGTGTGTTGGTTTCTATGACATGTTTTCACTGCAACTTGTATGACTTTTGAGTATTGATGTTTTCTTAGTACTTAGTTCTTATTCAACCTAGATAATGCAGAAAGAAGAGATTGTTCAGGATCATATAATGTTTTCATGACATTTGACTAATATGTTTCTACATATACATTTTTAACACTATGTTTACCACACTTGATCGCCTATCCATGACTCATAATGTCCTCTTACTTAGGACTACACTTACAGATGTTCTGTCTCTGTGTAACATGTTTGTGAAACATGCTCTATTTCATTTCAGTCGTAGTACAGTTTGCAAAGGATGGCTACTGATATGCTCTCTGATCAATGAACAACCTGAGCAACTATGACTGTCCTTATGAGAAGTGCTGAAGGATAGATTGATGTCTATTGTAAATCAGTAGGAATGCCATAACCTGTTATCATTGAACAAAAGTTAAATCACGAAAGAGACGAATAATCAATTGCTTTCATGTATTGTAAAAAGTGCATATGGACGAGAGGAGATGCAGCAGCACACAACACAACCTGGTCATATAGTTAACAAATAGCCCAGTCTACACCCAGCACAATACACCATCCTGTATCTAACAGTTCAAGGGTGGAAATAACCCATTGCCCAACGTCCCAGTCCAGCGTTTTTTCTGTCGGGCAAGCAATCTGTATATCACGCTGTACCGGTGTCCAGTTGACTCTCCAATGTTAATTATGTTGTTTATTTAAAAAATCAACAAGAAAATCGGCCGGTATAGTGGAAAAATTATCAGGGCAAGTGATTTCACATGTGTCACTGTACCTGAGTAAACTAGCAATTTTAAAGTTATTTCCACCCCTGCAGTTGACCTGGTAAACTTGTCAGCTATAACAACCTGTATCACAGTGAATGGTCAAGATCAGTACTGATATCCACAACAGTCATGACAGAACCAGCTGATTTACTACCACTGTGAGACTGCTACTGCGCTCACAAAGTCAACATGGCACGCATGCACGCATGCACGCACGCGCGCACGCACGCGACGCACGCGCGCCGCGACGCGACGCGCGCGACGCACGCACGCATGACGCACGCACGCACGCACGCACGCACGCACGCTACGCTACGCACGCACGCACGCATCACTACCTCTACATGGAGCCTACATATATACATCATTAACACTATAAGCTTCTCGCCTAGTTCTGGTCCTAAGTGTTGTCAGTTTGTTAACTGAAGTTGATGAGGATCTTTGTATACTGTGATCCCATACAATGTCTTAAAATTCTAGACCCATGAAGATCCGGTGTAACAGGCCAAACTTTCCCCTTGGCCAAACCTTCCCCGGGAAACTTTAGCCTAGGCCAAACTTCCCCCCACTAGGCTTAATCTTCCCCGGGGAATGTTTGTCCTAGGCCAAACTTTCCCCACCCTTGAATCAACTTTAATTAAAGGCTAATTGTTTCAAACCCTTGTTCTTATATCAAAGGGGGGAGATTCTGGCCAAGCTAGGCTATTTCTTCCCCAACCTTGTTTTCATGTTTATGTTCGTCTTGAAAAAGTTAGAAACGAAAACAAGACATAGCTATTCATGTGAACACATTGATAAGATATTCATGTTGATGTCAAGTTCCATTAACAATTTACAGGTCATCTTCATCTTCATATATGAGTCATTCTAAAAAAATGCAGCTTTTTCACGCATCAGGACTAACACCTCAATAAAACCGTCCAATTGTATCAATGTGTTAAAAATCTGATTTTTCCTTCATTGTCAATATCTATTCTTACTTGGGAAGTTTTTATCACAAACAAAAGGACCAAATAATATTTATTTTTTCCTTTTTGTAACAAGGGACATGCATTTTGTCATGTATCTAGGTGCAAAAACCTAACATCATGTGTCTGCTGTGCACTAAACTTTATTTAAGAAGGTATTGTTTCTGGAGTGATTGAAAAGTATAGACCTTTTTCCCATTCCTGGTAGATGTTCAATGATTTTCAAGCTGAATTTTGATATAAAAAACAAATGTTTTCTCTTATATACAAGAAAAATGTCTTTCCTGTAACAGTTCCATAAAATTATGAAATATTTAATGACCCCTCATCCTGTGAAAGTGGAGCTACATGTCATGCTTATTAACAACTTATGGTTGAGAGTGATGAACATGTGGTGTTGAAAAAATGTGTACCAAAATATAAGTGCAAGGGTGGGGAAGAAGTAGCCTAGCTAGGCCAGAATATTCCCACTTTTCATAGAAAACAGAACAAAATATCCTAGTTTAAACAGGGGGGAAAGTTTGGCCTAGGGGGGAAACTTTAGCCTAGCCCAAACTTTCCACGGGGTAAGAATATCCTAGGACAAAACCTCCCGGGGAAGTTTTGCCTAGGCCAGATTCTGCCCAGGGAAAGTTTAGACCGGGGAACAAATGGCCTGCTACACCGGGTTAGAACTGGTCTTCAGTAACACATGCTTGTCGTATGAGGCAACTAATGTGATCGAGTGGTCAGGCTCGCTGACTTGGTTGACACATGTCATCGTATCCAAATTGCGTAGATCGATGCTCAGGCTGTTGATCACTGGATTGTCTGGTCCAGACTCGATTATTTTCAGACCGCCTCCATATAGCTGGAATATTGCAGAGTGTGGCGTAAAACTAAACTCACTCACACCCATGAGACACAGTTCACTAGGTCTACATGGCACTTCTACACACATCTCACAGCAGAGTTTGATCAGATATTAACTCTTGTGACACTCATGACTAGTTGTCAAACAGCAGATACTGCTAATATAATGGGGCACAATGGAGTCTGACTCAGCAGAAATCCACAGCTATACTATTAGTCTGGCTTACACTGCCACAGACAGTTCTAGGATCGTCATCATACCTGAGGCAGACATAGCGGTACTAACATGCTAGAGTCATCATCGTATTTTAGAATTCAGTATCTTACCTGGCTTTTTCCCCTGTAAACCTCGAGCCCCATGGACTGAAACAAAGCAAATAGAACACTGACAAATATATAAACATCAGCATATTGTATAGTATTTTATCACATAACTGTCTGACTGTAACACACTGTATCATACTGTATCATACTGTAACACTGACAAATATATAAACATCAGCATATTGTATAGTATTGTATCACATAACTGTCTGACTGTAACACACTGTATCATACTGTAACACTGACAAATATATAAACATCAGCATATTATATAGTATGTTATCATATAACTGTCTGACTGTAACACACTGTAACACACTGTATCACACTCAAACATAGTGTTAATAACATTTAAAGTGCAGAACAGGTGAAATGGGGATTACCATCACATTCAAAGTTACTGCCCTTCTATAACACCTGTATGCATGTTGCATGTGACTGTTTGTACTAGCCTCAACTAATACCACTGACTTTTTGATGGAATCTGGTGGTCAGACTCATTGACTTGGTTGACACATGTCTCAATCCCAGTTACTGATCAACACTGACTGTTGATCACTAGACATTGTCTGGTCCAGACTGGATTAGTACAGTTATCATATAGCTGGAATATTGCTGACTGTAACACAACTGTATCACTACACAAATCATTGTTTTGTCCCATAATGTATAGTGCCAGGCATCACAGCAAGTATTTTAACATGTTTTGTTGGAATGCACATAACAGATTACACCCTGATCTTCCACACTGTGGACAGACCAAGGATCATACTGTAACACTTGACATACTATTATAAACATGTAGCATGTTGCAATAGTATTGTAAAACATATAACCATCTCACTAACACACTGAATCATACTGTAACACTGACAAATATATAATACATCAGTAACATGTTGTATAGTATGTGTATCACATAACTGTCTGACTTTAACACACTGTATCATATTGTATATCATGACTGTATATAAACATCAGCATATTGTATCATATTGTGTCACATTGTGTACAAGGTGTAATCATATTGTATCATACTGTAACACTGTAACATATATAAACATCAGCATATTGTATAGTATTGTATCACATACTGTAACATTGTGTACAAGGTGTATCATATTGTATATCATACTGTAACATTGTGTACAAGGTCTATCATATTGTATATCATACTGTAACATTGTGTACAAGGTGTATCATATTGTATCATACTGTAACATTGTGTACAAGGTGTATCATGTTGCATATCATATGTTATCACATAACTGTCTGATCAGTAACATTGTGTATCATACTGTAACATTGTGTACAAGGTGTATCATATTGTATATCATACTGTATCATTGTACATACTATTATAACAGTGTATCATAATGCAATATATTTAAAAACATATAACCATATCATAACATACTGAATCATATTGTAACATTGTGTACAAGGTGTATCATATTGTATATCATACTGTAACATTGTGTACAAGGTGTATCATATTGTATATCATACTGTAACATTGTGTACAAGGTGTATCATATTGTATATCATACTGTAACATTGTGTACAAGGTGTATCATATTGTGTAACATTGTGTACAAGGTGTATCATATTGTATATCATACTGTAACATTGTGTACAAGGTGTATCATATTGTATATCATACTGTAACATTGTGTACAAGGTGTATCATATTGTATATCATACTGTAACATTGTGTACAAGGTGTATCATATTGTATATCATACTGTAACATTGTGTACAAGGTTTATCATATTGTATATCATACTGTAACATTGTGTACAAGGTGTATCATATTGCATATCATACTGTAACATTGTGTACAAGGTATATCATATTGCATATCATACTGTAACATTGTGTACAAGGTGTATCATATTGCATATCATACTGTAACATTGTGTACAAGGTGTATCATATTGTATATCATACTGTAACATTGTGTACAAGGTGTATCATATTGTATATCATACTGTAACATTGTGTACAAGGTGTATCATATTGTATATCATACTGTAACATTGTGTACAAGGTGTATCATATTGTATATCATACTGTAACATTGTGTACAAGGTGTATCATATTGTATATCATACTGTAACATTGTTGTACAAGGTGTATCATATTGTATATCATGCTGTAACATTGTGTACAAGGTGTATCATATTGTATATCATACTGTATTATGTACAAGGTGTATCATATTGTATATCATACTGTAACATTGTGTACAAGGTGTATCATATTGTATATCATACTGTAACATTGTGTACAAGCTGTATCATATTGCATATCATACTGTAACATTGTGTACAAGCTGTATCATATTGTATATCATACTGTAACATTGTGTACAAGGTGTATCATATTGTATATCATACTGTAACATTGTGTACAAGGTGTATCATATTGTATATCATACTGTAACATTGTGTACAAGGTGTATCATATTGCATATCATACTGTAACATTGTGTACAAGGTGTATCATATTGCATATCATACTGTAACATTGTGTACAAGCTGTATCATATTGCATATCATACTGTAACATTGTGTACAAGGTGTATCATATTGCATATCATACTGTAACATTGTGTACAAGGTGTATCATATTGTATATCATACTGTAACATTGTGTACAAGGTGTATCATATTGTATATCATACTGTAACATTGTGTACAAGGTGTATCATATTGTATATCATACTGTAACATTGTGTACAAGGTTTATCATATTGCATATCATATTGTACAAGTAACATTGTGTACAAGCTGTATCATATTGCATATCATACTGTAACATTGTGTACAAGGTGTATCATTTTGCATATCATACTGTAACATTGTGTACAAGCTGTATCATATTGTATATCATACTGTAACATTGTGTACAAGCTGTATCATATTGCATATCATACTGTAACATTGTGTACAAGGTGTATCATATTGCATATCATATTGTAACATTGTGTACAAGCTGTATCATATTGCATATCATACTGTAACATTGTGTACAAGGTGTATCATATTGTATATCATACTGTAACATTGTGTACAAGCTGTATCATATTGTATATCATACTGTAACACACTGTAAAGTATGCATGCATACTTGCACACACGCCTGCACACATATATAGTACACTGTACATAGTACATTATAACATAGTCACAGGACTTTGGTCAATACTGTACTTGCAAATCTGTTTATGATCTCAAATGACCCTGTAATTTGTAGGCCAAAAATATGTATGTTATGACCTGTGTTTGATTCAAAACTGAGTGAAGGAACCTTTCCAAACATGGATAGAATTGATTGTACATTGTATCCATCTTATTGCACTATCAGATGAAATGAACGCACATGCTTCAGTTTACATGGTTTATATGACATTAATTATTTCAAACATCCATATTCTTTTGTACCTAAGTGGATATTACTAGCATTCAATTTCATATTTATTTCAATAGGTCTACCTAATTGTTTCAGGTTTAGAAACCATATTTTGATTCAGGTAATAACCATTATATTGTACTCCTCAGTGTTAGTCATGATGCCACAAGTTCCAAATTGTGTCCCAAAACAGAATTTAGCTGGGAAAGGAGTTGTTGGCTGATCTCCTGAACATGACAGACATCAGTTTAGAAAAACAGTGCTCTGCTGCAGTGAAATGAGGCCACTTGTAGGAGGCTCTCAGACATCATGGGAACCTGCTGACAGGTTGTTATCAGTGCCCAGTATTCACCTGACAAAGTAAATCTCTTACATGACTCATTCCATGTTTCAAATTTCATGATAAAGTGGTCCACATGAATCACTGACAGTTTCCTTGTGGGAAGAAATTGAAACCTGGATTTTAGAAACTATAAATGTACTTCATATTTCACCCTTGTGAAGACTTTGGGAAAAATCTGAATTGACATCTTCCATTTACATGTATTTAGTGATTTTGTTATTTCTTTATATTCATCGTTTTTGGTTACAAATTTGTTTTGTACATGAAGCATCACTCACTGAATAGGCTTGAAAACATAACATACTTGTTGCTTATAAATTAAAATATAGCATACATATTATATATGTATGAATAAAAAAATCCATGAAAGCTGATCGAATAAAGTTTTCTTGTAAATAAGTACATGCATGTATATATTGGTCATTTGGTACTAATGTAATGTTTAGAAAATTGAACAAAAACATAACAGAGTTTAAACATTACATTGTGTCCACAACTATATCCATGGTGTGAACCCCTTGCCAAGAACCACTACCAACCCGGGCCATGTAGACTTTCTATGTCAATATATCAATGCTAATGGTAAGTTCAAACAAGTGTTGACAAGTGTATTACTACAACACAATCGGTACATTTAAGTATGACTTATGAGCCACCATGCTTATGGGGGCAGCCCAGTTTGTCGAAGGCCTGCCATAAAACAACCCAACTGTGTGTCAGTTATCCCAGCAAGCAGTGCATCTGTCACAGACTGTCACAGGCTGCTCTGTACCTCCACACACACCTCACTCCAATCACCCCTGACCCCTGACCTGACCCCAGTGACTGATGACCCATCCCTGAAGAGCAATGGTTAACTTTGCCTTAGGACAGACACATCATCAGGCGGGGTCCATTCTGGCTGTGGATGACCTCTGTTACACATACACTGTGATAAATGCTTTCTGTTGTGACACTTTTATGTTGTATTCAGTACAGTTTACTTAACTGCTCGACAGATGCACATAAGTTTCTTCAGTTTATATAAAATATAGAGACATAATCATCGCAAAACCAGAAATACTCCTCAGCTGAGAACAATGCCATGCCATTTACTTATGTCAAGGATATTTAAGCAAATACATAATCACAGACAATCATTATTTTAGTATCAGATTATTATGTAGAGAAATCCCGTAGTTAATGTACTCACAACTGTGGAATAGTGGCGTGCCAATTAATTGAAATAATCGATCAATGACCAAACGACCAAGCAATCGATCACGTTTTCTCATAATCGAAC